TAGATGGAAAAACAGTAAGAACTAGGTAGCAAATGACTTTCCTCAACTGTTGGGTGCAAAATATGAGAATTTCTTAGTTGATTCAGGATTTTTTGCAAATCAAAAAAATGAAGAGGCGAATCCAAGAATCAACAAATTAAATTGAAATTGGTGTGACCAAATTAATCATCATGTAATTACTTTTTCGTACTGTCAGCTTTTTGCCCACATGTAAATTGGGACTTTTGCCGACTGTCAGCAAACAGTTGCAATTCTCCTCTAACACTGTTGCAATGTCAATAAATCACAACATCACAAACCCACACATTATAGGAAAAGTGGGATCATTCTGAGATTCATCTTCTCGGTAAAAGGGCTACTGGCAAAGGGCAAAACATGCAATATAAGGTATATCAAGGAGGTTAGAGGGAGAGTTTGTTTTGTTGTAAAAACAAAATTTGAACTGAAACCTAAGGCTACAGTGTGGGTGTTTCAGTGTGATCAAATGTTAGACCAAGTGGCAGGGTTCCCATACCACCCTGGGGCTATGTTCCGCATTAGTACAAGTCCTCAAGGGACGTCCCAAGAGATGCTGGCAGGATATTAGGCCAGTCTAGGATGACCTACCTAACTGTACCTTGAGAACTGAACTGAAATGAAATGTAGCTTATACATGTGTAGTTACAAGGCAACATTCTCCAAAATTGAGTTGATATATATGCCATGTATATCAACTCAATTTTAGGAGAATGTTTCACTGTTGAGTTGTTGGTTATACTTCAGGTTGGCGGCTCTTTGCCTTCGTTTGCTTTCTTGTGAGGGCACCAGACCATCTGGTCATGCACATGCATCTACCCTTTCAATGACCGCTTCTGTAAGTTTTCCTCTTCACACTACCCAAAGAAGGCTTCAAGCATAATCTTCCTTAAGGATCAGATAGTGTTCAATTCTCATGAGTTCAGACCACTTTTCTAGTGACCTTAAACCTTTCACCCAGCCCCCAACTGCACACTGAGATACATGCGTATTACTTTGGGCCCAGTGTGCCATGGGTCTGACATCCAGATCTAGACTAGTCCATGATCGTCCATGGAGGTGTATACAAGTACCTCCATGATCAGTCCCAGCTTTGTTTTCTAGATTGTACAGTATACAGTTACTGTACCAGATTAAATCAAATTTTGTGATCTTCTATCAGGTTTAAAATATTACTGCTGCACAACAATATGCACAATTTTTAACTACACAAATTAAAACTACAGACAGGGTGGCAAGCTTTATATGCAGATATGACCTTGTATGAGAAGTTCTGTCGAAGTACTTGTCTACGTGGTCTTAAGGTAGAGAAGGAATATTGAGCCTTCAGTCATCTGAATGGGAAAACACTTCTCAATATACATGTACATGTAAGTAGAGATGACCATGTGTGCACAAAATGTTTAATGTGATGGCACAGTTTGCACGATTAGTATTATTATTAGCAAAATGTGATGACTTGAGTGCATTGGAACCCCTAGGCTGTTCATTGGGGTTTTCTGTCAGCTGGGGGCTAACTGAGGGCACTTGGGAGCACTTGGGATACAAATTAATCTGTCACACCTTGTTACAAGCTAATCCTTAAGTAAATACAGGCAGCAGCTAACCCAGCCTGAAACAGCTTCTGGTGTTAGCAATAGAAAGACTCACAGCCAAAGTACAGTGGAGATAAGAGAAAGAGCAACTTTTATGAATTATAAAGATGATGCAAAATCTTGAAGTGAAGAGTCACAAGGTGATAGGGGCATGAGAGGGCAAAATTTTGTATTATGATTATGAAGTAATTTGTCATCATAACAATATTATCATAGATGACTTATTCCTATTGGATTTCTAACTGCATGGAATGAAATTAACAAAACATGGTCCTTTTTAGGTACAAGAATGCCATACAACACTTTTTAGCCTTGTTCATGTGAAGTCACCCAAACCGCGATTCGGGTAACTCGCATTCCTCACATCTGGTCCATGTGCCATACATTATCCTTTCAAACAGTGCCCGATCACGATTCTCTGAAACTGCGTTCATTGTTGTTTGATCAAAACAATGCAACGCAAGGTGGCGTGTTATTAATGTCAGAGGTCAATGACCTGCTTGCTGGTGCCCCCCTCCCAGCGTATCTCGGCGAATGCTGATGTGGTTCCGCCAGAGGCGGTGAAGCTAGTCCTAGAATGGACACATTATTTGACCATTACTGCTCTTCAAGTTGCTGCCACGTAAAATTTGGTATTGCTTATAAATAAAGAAATATCACCCCGTAATCCATGACCAGGTGAAGTCACATTGAAATCACATTGCGTTCAGATGCAAATCGCGATGCGGGAAAACTGATTCGAAACCACCTCTAGAAGTGGCTTGGGATCAAGGCGCTTTCAGTGTGATTTGGAGCGTTCAGATGGAGCCACTTGAAACCGGCTTCGGGGGAAACGACATGTAAAGCGCCTTCACTGACTTCACATGAACACGGCCTTTGATAATTTGGAACTTTGGCTTTGACCTATATTAGGTAGACATGAAAATATGACTAACTAGAGTTCCACGACCTCATACCTTCGCCAAATGATGGTACTCTTTGGCCTTGATGAATGCTGACGATTCGCATTAATTATGCAAATTAGGCATTCATTTGCATAAACACTACCTGCCAATGTTCTTCTTCTTCACAATTACACATGCCACACGTTTGAATAATCATATCATGGAAGGTAGCAGATTTATAGCATTTCCTCATTAATTATCCTAATTAGCTGCTGATTTGCATAACTATCATTTTCATATGTCAAGCATTCTTTAAGGTACCCACATACCAGAAATCATGATGATCCGTCAATCGGTTCTTGAGTTATCCTCCTTCGAATATTTTTCAACGAATGCTTCTACAGTTCCAGAACAAGCCGCTAGGGGGTCCAAACCCATGTCACTTCTTCCCCAGTCAAAGAGCTACCTACCATCCAAATTTAGTGACCCTAACATGTCCAGATCACGAGATATCAAAACCGGAAGTTCAGCTGCAGTACCATAACAAGCCGCCAGGGGGTCCAAAATCTAATCAGTTCCAGGTCTCATCAAGACCTACCCACCCACCAAATATAAAGACAATCCATCTTTGCCTTCTTGAGTTATCGTGTTCACACACACACACACACACACACACACACACACACACAGACACACGAACGCCAACGAAAACATAACCTTCTGGGCGAAGGTAATAACAGCTTTACAAAATGAACTGTCATTGTATGGGGGCCCGCAAGCCCTTTTCAGTAGAGTGTAATCAGCCGTTTTAATTCTACATAGAGCGTAGACGGACCGCTCTTTGCATTTTGCGTAGAGCGTATTCGCCGTTTTAATTCTACGTAATGCGTTGTAGCCACTTGGAATTTATCGTAAAGCGTAATCGAGGGTTTCCGAATTCAGCGTAGAGCATTGTCGGGACCCCCCCTTGCAGGCCCTCTTGTATATCAGAGAGAGCTGTGAAAGTCACCTGTTTGTTGAACAACAACACGCCACATGTACAAGAACTCAAGCTTCAGTCTGACAATGACCATCAGCATGAAATACTGTGACCTGTATGACCTGAAAGTGAAAGTACTTGTGCCTGAAATGTGTGTGCCATCTGCAAACTCTTTTGTGCTTTTGGAAGGTACTTGGCAGAATGTCCTGTCTTGTATGTTTTTTTGCAGCACAGGGATAGCAAACACATACAGTGTAGGACGAGTGTGAGTCCACTCTCTAACATCATAAAATAAATAAGGCATTGCTAATTCCTTCATATCTTGTATTTGGGTTGTAGAATTCTGCACCTGAATGCAGAATTCTGCAGAACTGACAGACCTAGTCCCAGGGGACCTATCGATGATACCTATGCAACTTTCAGCGAGTAATATAACAATGTCTTAATGGTGAAAGGTCGTCCGGAATTAGAGTCAGTCCAGAATTAAAGTGTTGTCTGTTTGAAGTATAATTATGCAGTTTGTACATAGTACATGTATATGCACCTATGTGCACTTTGCACATAGGTGTGTGCACTTTGCACATAGCTGTGTGCACTTTGCACAGTGTGTGCACTTTGCACATAGCTGTGTGCACTTTGCACATAGTGTGTGCAGTTTGCAAATAGCTGTGTGCACTTTGCACATAGTGTGTGCAGTTTGCACATAGCTGTGTGCACTTTGCACATAGGTGTGTGCAGTTTGCACATAGGTGTGTGCACTTTGCACATAGGTATGTGCATTTTGCACATAGTGTATGGAGAATTTCTCGTTTTAGTTGGGAATGTGTTGTACATGTATTAGCTTGTAGTTTTTAATTATGGTGCGTGTTCAGTTGGCGTAGATTTACGCTTGGATACTTGTACCGATGTACCGACTAGTACTGTGCGTTGGCTGCAGTTCCATGACCTCCGCAGTGGCGCTAATAAAAGAGGGCATTTTGACAGAACGAGCCAGCAAACCTAAGCTCATTTTCACATATTTTCTACACCATACCCTGAAATTAAACATATTAAAATCTGAATCTTGCTTTTTGCACCCCACTATAATTTGTACCGCGTCAAAGTGAGTCACTTTGGGGTCCTTAACTATAGAAATCCCCGAAAATTGTGTTCTGCCGCTTTAATGTGCATGCCAAAGTAACATGGCATGTTCTCTGTTCCTGGTTGTATGAGAGGTATGACTAGTTTAGCACGTCGGCAGAACGCACTGCACCTGCGCGAAACCGTAATGTATTGTACATAGCATTTCGGCAGAACGTCTCATATAAGGTTGTATTCGCTCATATAAGGTTAGCATTTCGACAGTAGTTTCCAAATGTTATGTCGGAAAGAATATCCTTTACAACAGGCAAAATTTTGATGCAACGCTGACCAAAAAAACCAACGAAAAACGCGAAAATACGGGGTTCTGCGCAGGGGCAGTACATTCTGCCAACGTGCTGACTAGTTTATGTGTGCCTGTATCTGATGTTACTTTTCTGTCTGTAGGAACAAGTTGAAGGAGATCCTGAACAGAGGCATCGAGCCGCCCATCATCATCTTTGTGAACCAGAAGAAGGGCTGTGACGTCCTGGCCAGGTCGCTGGAGAAGATGGGCGTACGTACAGACTTCCTCCTGACATTCTCACTGATTCTTACTGTTAGGCCACACCTATTTAATTCGTTGGTTCTCGGATTTGCCTCTTCATTTTTTCCTGAGTTGCAAATAAAAAAAGACTTTGGTTCTGAATCAAATAAAAAATACTCATATTTTGCCCGCAGCAGTTGAGGAAAGTCATTTTCTTCCTAGTTGGTATAGTTTTTCCCAGCTGCCAATGCAGTGGTTTAATTAAAAGTTCAAAGTTTGTCATTTAAATATCAACCCAGCCTTTTGTGTTGACTTCATGGCTCCTATCGTGGCATTTGGAGCTATAATAGGATGCCTAGACCTGTTTTTTTTTTTTTTCGCCCTGTCGCTTCATATTTTTTCTGAAAAATCCGAGAACCAACAAATTAAATTGGTATGGCCTTAGGGCAGCAGTTACAAGCTTTAAAGCTGGACCTCAGGGCTGAAAATTCATTTTTGGGAAAAGGTGCACTGGTGCACTTGTCTTAAATAATTGGGTTCACAATTTTTTTTTGGAAATGGAAAATGTAAATCCAGAAATGTGTTATGGTTATACATTTTTTCTGGCTTGTATTACAAGTGGCGTACAAGTTGTGCCCTTGGGAAAGACAATTAACGCGCATTTCCCCCCCTCAGTTAGAGGGATCCTGGGCCCTACTAGGGTTTGGGTTGGCGTTAGGAAGGGCATCCAGCCGTAAAAATCTTGCTTCAGAAAAAGACTTGCACTTGGTGCAAGCACGTCAAATCCCTGGTTCGGGGAAAAAATATGTTTAAACTAGAAAGGCCAATATTTGCTTTGGAGCAAATACAGCGATGGGTTCACCACATTTTACGACATGGCAGGGAAAGAATGAGAAACACAAGGGAAAACAATGATTTACATTGATATAACTATAATATGAAGTAACATACAACTAAAACAACAGTTGGATAGCTATTCCCTACTTTATTGGTTAGGATTTTTAATTGCATAATGCAAACTGTTGATTTTCAAAATAAAAAAAAAACGTTACATGCCCGCATT